TGATGACGAAGAGGAGGATGATGAACTTGATTCAGATTTTCTTTTCCTACTTTTCTTTATCTGCAAGAAAGGCTTCAATCACAAAAAAAGCGGTATTATAATGACATTTTTACCAGAACCAAATGAATAACAGCTGTCTAAGCACTCCTCTAAAAGAAGTTACCAACTATTCCGTCGCTACACCCAAAACAGCAACAGAAACGCTAGGGCACATTTTAGTCACAGGTTACAAATTCTGCAGTAAGTATTATAGCCGAATTAATGGAAGGCGATGAATACTACAAAATCGTGGATCATCTTAATACTGAGATGATTTCACGTCAAAAAGCGGGACGGAAGAGGAAAGTGAGCACAAATGCTAGGTATGCTAGTGCTGGGCTACAAAGCTGTAACTGTAAGTCGCCATATCATTTGCGCATGCGAACCCCGCACTACATATTTAGCATATATTTTTTACCAACCAGCACGACTCTAAACATGCAAAGAAAACGAAATTTTTTTGCCCAAAACAAGAGTGAAGCAGAACTCGAAAATTTCCTCGCATTTAAAGATTGAAGCAATCGAAACTGAGGTGAGTGATAACACTTTCCAAAAACAGCATTCCAGACAACTATGATTTCATTTTCCATTTACTGTTTTGAGAAAGCCGACAGCATGCAAACCCAGTCAACGACAGCTGAGAGACTCGGGTCGCGCGCTGCAAGACGATAGCAGTGCCATCTAACTATTTCACTTCATCAGTCTCGCACAAAATTTTGAAAACAAAAACCAGCTATGAAATCGAAACCAGTTTATTTACATCTTCATGTTCCTTCGTCTTCTTTTCCTCATCCTTCTCAGATTTCTCCTCCACGCCCAGCGTAGCGCCCTTGTTCAACCTATAAAAAAAATTTTTTTTTGCAAAACGACAATTATAGTAGAACGTAAGCAGTGGGTAAACAATTCAAAAATCTTGTTTGCTGGAAGCGAGCGCAGTATAGCATATCTCCCGAACAAAAAAAATAAATGGCAACGCGCACCAGACTAGCCGGTGCGATCATGCGTTTTGTGCAATTCAGCCCCATCGACATAATAAATAGCAACGCACACCAGACTAGCCGGTGCGATCATGCGTTTTGTGCAATTCAGCCCATCGAACGATTGCTAACGCGCACCAGACTAGCCGGTGTGATCATGCGTTTTGTGCAATTCAGCCCATCGAACGATTGCCTGTAATGATTTTCACTGCTTTGTACTTTAGTCTATGCAAAAGTAGTTCAAACACTGGAAAAAAGTTAAAAATTTCACGCATCAGCGCATGAAAGCCGAATTCGAAACCTTGAAGGGTGAATATCTTTCTGTGCCTCCCAAGATAATAGTTTACCCGCCAAAATTTTCACTAGGCCTTAGCTGGTACCCGAGAGCGCGAGAATGCTGAATTTGGATGGGCAAGGTTGAGCGTGGGCAGGGGATCATTACATTAAAATTTCAGCCTCCTAGACTCAGTGGTTTCCGAGATATTAACTTACCCGTGGAAGACTTTCACGGGGCCGTACGTGTTACCCGCGAGTAAGAGAAGGCTGAATTTGAGTGGGCAAGGTTGGGCGTGGGCAGTGGGTCATTACCCTAAAATTCCTGCCTCCTAGACTCCGTGGTTCCCGAGATATTAATTTACCCGTAAAAAAGTTTCATGGGGCCGTACGCGTTACCCGCGGGTACAGGGAAGCTGAATTTAAATTTGCGGGGTCACACGTGGGAGGGGACTTTCCTCTAAATTTTCAGCTTCCTAGCTTTTGCGGTTCCCGAGTTGAAAGTTGCGACAAGTTGCTGCGGACACACACACACACACAAACACACACAGACAACCCCGTGACAATATGCGTTTTGTACTGCTGTTATACAGCACAAAACGCATAACAATTATTGTTCGGAGAACGGTTAGTCGCATTTCGTTTACAAACATAGTACAAAGCGCGACAAAAAGCCGGTAAAGAGGATGTATTTTTCGTTGTCCGTTATTCCCTTTCACAACTTACCGCTCCACTTCCTTCACAAGCTCTCTTCATGATCCCCCATATCATTTTATCACAAACTACCACAGCTTAGCAATCGACCTAGCATCCCAGTGCAGGTCTGTAGTGACCGAAAAGCGTAAGTCAGCTGCGCAAAAAACGGACAAACAAATCGGAAAGTTCGCATAAAGAAATTCGCCGGTATTTGTCATCGCACTTGCAAAAATGCGCATAAAAACTGAACTGAAATTCATCAGA